CTAAGGACAGGTCCCGGTCCTACTGCCTAGGGGCCTCCTAAATGGTTCAAGCTAATCAACTATCTCACTTATCCAGAGGGCCTGGTTCAGTTCCGTGGGGGCTCCTCAGCTATTGGTTCGTAGTTCATGTGTTTCCAGTATTTTGGCTATTTTCCCTGTGCTTTTTCTAGTCATGGTCTCAATATCTCTTGCTCATATAGTCCCTCCTCTCTCTCGCCGATGGGACTCCTGGAGCTTCACCTGGGGCTTGGCCATGGATCTCTGCACCTGCTTCCATCAGTCACTGGATGAATTGTTTTCATTATTTCATTCAACTGTTGTGTTTTGTTGTCTTCATTCTGGCATTTACTCATCATTCATTGAGTTCCATGACTATGGTTATTCTTCCTATTTCAAAATCCTTGTCTTCATACATCATCTAAGTCACCTTCTCTAGAAACAATACTGTGGAAGTACAAAATTTTTGTAGAGACCTATTATCTTCATTATTCATGTTTATGTTTTGGAGATTGGACCTAGCTATCTGATGATAGGTTTTTGGTAGTGTATCATGGTATGGAAATTTTTCTCTCCTTTGTTAAGTTGGTGTTGGGTCTGTTTCCTATTACCCTCACTTGTCAGGCTGTTGACATGGTGAATGGGCCTTAGATTTTAAGACAAATCAGTATCGATATTTGAATGTGTTATGGAAAGTAGTCACAACTCAGCTCCAGCCAGGTGAAGTTTCTAACCTCAGAACCAGACCTTCTGTAGAGTTAGAGTCTCACAGCTAGTCTTCAGGAGTCCAAAGAAGGTACTCTGGACTTTTCCTCAGGCAGTGGGAATCAGTGTAGTTGGTAATGTGAATCTAGGGTCCCAACCTGGGGAGGGGCAGTCAGAGGTTGGGCTGAGTTTTGCAGTGGAGTTGACAGTGTGAGTCTAGGCTCCATACATAGAAAGTGAAGGCTGAAGGCATTTGCCTAAAGGCAGGTAGGGGACATGTGTTACTCAGGTAGGTTGCAAGGGTAGGCTGGGTAGACAGTGTGAGTTTAGGGTCCTGAACTAGAGAGGGTGAGTGGAGGCCTGGCTGAAGAGATGAATGAAGTTGGTAGCATGAGTCTAGTCTCTATGCTTGGAGAGGAATTGCCCTCAGGCCATGAGATGGCTGTGGTTAGAGGGAGAGAGTCAAGGGTTCCAGTCTAGAGATGGAGCCCAGGTTGGTGGTGAGTCTGTAGTCCCTACCTAAGGGGGAAGGGCTGGAAGGAGAGTCTGAAGGCAGGTACAGGACAGGTGGTCCTCAGGAAAGTAGAGGGCATAGGTGGTTTATCCAGCCTTTTCTTGAGTTTTGCCTGCTTGCAATTATTGAAATTAAGTGAGATAAAATTCTTCACTATAGTTGTGCATTTTGTATTTGTATTCCATTTTCTCCTATTTCTGACACCCCTTCAAAGCATACATCCTGAGGCTGTGTATTTAAATGCAGAGAAATTTAGAATTCTTTTCCATCTAATTAAACTAAAACACTTATCATTATGAAGTTTCTCTGTTTAGCTCTGCCTATTGTTAGACATGATGTTTGCTCAGACTGTGTCAGTGGAGTACAGTAGCTTTCTTTTGGCTAATGTTTCCATGGTCTACCTGGGCTCATCATTTATTTTCAAGTTTATTGAATCCTTCTGTTTTAGGTTTATTATTATTTTTACTATTGTTATTATACAAGGAACAGACAATGGCATACTTAAAAATATGATATGAAAACTTTTTATTACCAACTGAAAAAATTATTTTCTTTTACCGTAGTTGTTAAATTTGGATGAAAATCCATCATCTTCTTATGTCCTTTCTATTTGTCCTAGCTAATTCTATAATCCTCTTATTCTTTTTGTTTTGTTTTGTTTTGTTTTTTTGAGACAGGGTTTCTCTGTGTAGCTTTGCGCCTTTCCTGGAACTCGCTTTGTAGACCAGGCTGGCCTCGAACTCACAGAGATCTGCCTGGCTCTGCCTCCCGAGTGCTGGGATTAAAGGCGTGCGCCACCACTGCCCGGCTAATCCTCTTATTCTTGTCTTCTTTTTATTTATTTATTTTTAAAATAAACTAGCACATGGTTATCAGTTAAATTACAAAGCTTGATGTGGTGATTTGAAAGAAAATGGCCCCGAATGGGAGTGGCACTATTAGGAAGTGGAGGAAGTGTGTCACTGTGGAGGTGGGCTTTGAGGTCTCATATTTGCTCAAGCCATACCCATGTCTCATACCACTTCCTGTTGCCTGGAAAAGATGCAGAAGTCTCAGCTACTTCAGTACCATGTCTGCCTGTACACTGTCATGTCCTATAGTAACGATAATGGACTAAACCTCTGAATTGTAAGTCATCCAGTTAAATATTTTCCTTTCTAAGAGTTGCCATGGTCATGGTGTCTCTTCACAGCAATAGAAACCCTAACTAAGACACTTTCTAAGGGTTAACCTGCATTCCTGTATTCATTGCAGCCAAGATGTATAATCTAACAATGAGTTCATTGACGTAGAGGTGGATTAAAAAGTTAGGGTTTTCTGCAACTTAAAGAGAATGGAATCCTGTTATTAGCAAAAACACACGGAGTCTAGAAAATACTGAGTTAAGTCAAATAAACCAGGCACAGAAAAGCAAATGTCTCATTATCTCACTTGTAAAAGAAAATATTGACTGTCCAAGGCTGAGGAGATACTAGGGGGTGGGGCTGGGTGGGGAACAGGACAAGTGCAAGGATTTTCTCTTTCCACTCCCTCTCCTGCTCTTTCTCTCTTTCAGACAGGGATGGCCTCCAGCTCTATGTAGATGAGGATGGCTTTGAATCCTGATCCTCCTGCCTCTATCTGCCAAGTGCTAGGTTTGCAGTATCTGCCACTGTGTCAAGCATTATCTTCTTTTAATCTGGAAGTTATGTATTGCTTCTGATCTTCCAGCAATTATCCTGAAACCTTTTGTATATTCTTGATATATCAATGTGTAATCCTAATCTACATTCTATGTTCATTTAAAGTAATTCAAGGAACTTGAAATACTTTCATTATATTTAATCACCTTTAGGTTCATATGCAATTGTGTTAGGAACTTTGGGTTACCCCCTGGGACCTTTTTTAGGAGTCTCTGAGAAGACTTCCATTCATTTAAACATTCTGTAAGGATGGAATTGCATGTTGAAATGTTAACTATTCCAGCCCTATTGTGAATGATCAATTCTTAAATGAGGCATAGCTGTTTCATATTTCTCCAAGCAAGAAGGTTGGCAGTTTGGTAAGGGCCATCTCTTTTTATGGGAATGAAGGTTGCCAAGCTGTAGGAACTGTTGATAGAGTTGCATACACAATGAGCTATACTCAAATGATGATTGGAACGAAACAAAACAATACATAAACCCAGACTCAGGCTGTCAGCAGCAGGTCTGTGGTCAGTCTGAAATGTCAACAAAAACACAAGATTAGAATCACTTTATTTCCTGACAAAAGAATATGTTTCATTTTCCTATTTTCTCATCAAATGGAGGCCTACAGCCCTTTTAAATCCACACTGTGAATATAGGAGGAGGAGACAAGGTCATTTCTGAATGTTTCTATGCAGACTTGTCTGAATGAGACTGGGAAGAAACCTGAGATGTATGTTAGACTAGTTCAAAGGTTCTTTATTCTCATGATTATCACAGTGGAAAGTCAGTCATAAGGTATTAGTGCTTTGGAGTAGGGGCGGGGTGGCCTGTGGGAGCTGTTCCTTGATGAAATTAAACCTCAATTAAATTGTGCTGCAAATATGCCCTGAAAGAAGAGAGTCTTTAACCATGTTGCATTTAGTTCAGTAAAGCAGAGACATTTTCTATAATGTGAGTGAATATATTAAACACAGCCACTCTGTTAACCTAAACCTTTACCTATCCCTGAAGCTGTGTAATACTGTATCCACACATTTCTTGACATCTTGGTGTGGAAAGTAGGCCCTTTCATTTTATGCACCACTATGCTGTCTTTTTTAGTCCCATCTGTAGCATCAAAGGCTATAGACAGCAACATTGTAGCTTCCATTCTATTTTTCTACACAAGATTACACTCTTTCCTAGTTGGGATGTTATATTAGTTTCTGAGTTTATGTGGTAGGGAGAAAAGTTATATCTCTAAAAGGCAAATGACTAAACCTTGAGTCACTAAAGTGTTGGTCTTCAAAGGGAAGAATCCTAGCAGCACTCTCTGCAGGGCTAATTTAATCCATCACAGTCTGCAAACCTCAACATCCTCTGCTTCAGTGTTATTTTGGCCCCATGTTACAGATAGACAAGTGATGCCCAGGGACACGAGATGATTCATCCAAGGTCATAAGACTAATGACTACCATGCTTAAACTATTTTCCAAGTTTGGAAAATAATGTCAGTGAAGATTTCAGACCCTGTATCAGTGTAAAGCAAGTTCTGCACAAATGGCAGCTTCCTACAAAAATCTGCCCCATTATTTTTCCAAGCTCCTCTGGGGATGAGAGATACATCCTCCCAACAGTCCACAGACGGCACGATGGCCCTCACTGCACTCTCTCTTTAACTTTAAGGATCGATTGATGGATGGTAGACATGTGACACGTCCTGCAGACCAGAACCTGACAGAGATGGAGAACATCTATCAGAAGCCCGGGCCTCCTGTTTTGCTTGCTAGGACACCCGCCAGATTCGGCTTGTTAATTGGATCCTGTGCAGGCAGCTATTTCAGCAACAGTTCTGTGAGTCTTCTGTGGCACATCTTGATTTAAAGGGAAATGCTGAAAAGCACTTCTCAGCCACTCAGAGCTCCTGTTCGCTCACGTTTAGCTGATTGGAGGAAGAGTAAGTGGCCTTCAAAACTGTTGTGCGGACAGAAAGGTAAATTAATCTGTCTCCTCAAACTTAGGGAATAATTTTTTTTTGAGAGACAGTTGGTAAAGTGTCTGATTTCTGCCTAAAGAGATGCTTTCCCTAAAGTCAGATGGAATTGAAAAAGAAATTTGTGGAAAAATTGCCACCATGACCTTAAGCAAGCAGTCTTTGAGCTGATACAATAATGAGGAATAAGGTGTTGTTAAAATAGACTGAGCATATTAATGACTGCACCCAGCAGTCAGCCGAAAGGACAAGAAAAGGTTTAAACTCTGGAAGGGAGGATTTTGCCAAGGAGATTTCAATGTCAAGGACTGTATGAGAAGCTAAATATAGGAATGCTCACACGCGTCACAGGGCCGTGGGTGGAGACGTACACACAGTCAAATGATGCCATTTCCACTTCTGGCAATATCTGAAGAAAAAAAATTGACTAGAAAACATTTAATCATATTTCATTTGAATTATACTTATAAATACTGAATTGCAGACCTGTCAAAATAAGCCCAACCAGCACTTCCTTGCAGAGGTACCAGATGGACAGAGGCTGCAGCACACAGGCAGCAAAGAGCTTGCAAGAACATCATGTTGGGAAGGCCATAGAGCTAACTCCCAGGTAAAGAGGTTTCTGAGAGTGAAGCTGGGCAAAAATGTCCCCGAGGTGTGTGGAATGGAGCTCAGAGTGGCTTGGATGTTGACTACAGGGAGGGAAAGAGCCTTAGCACAGCCTCAAAGACCTGTGAGTTCCAGGTCTCAGCTCTCTCTGGGATTCACGGTCAAGGATCTATCACTATTTAGTGTGATCTTTCTGCTAGGTGAGAATGTGCCTGCATGGTGACCTTGCTCAGCAGGAAGCTATACTGTCCCTTTCAGAAATCACAATGCAATGGCCTTGGGAGCTTGTTCCTGCCAACACCTCTTCCTGCACATAGAGGATGTGTACAGTACCAGGGTCTAGAAGTGAATTTCTTGGCATTTCAGGGGCAAATATCTCATCTATCCCCACCAAATTTCTAATACAAAACTGGGGGAAAGCTGTCTACTCTTTGTTAGTTCTTGTATTTACTTTCAATCTTGTAATTAGATGACTCAGGGAGAGCCCTTCAAGATCTTTCTGCTTGTCTGTGTCATCAGTTCACAAGAAGCTGAGCTGTGGGAAGGAGGGCTGGGAAAAATTAGGAAGAGAGAAATATCTTCCCTAGCTGACATGAAGAGGTGATGGTTTCATGTTGGCTAGTGCTCGCATTGCAGCTGGAAAGACCTCACTGGGAAGTTTGCCTCATGCATCTGTTAAGTGACACAGGACTGGGACAGGGTGGCTCAAGCTTCATGCACATCCACTGACTGGTGATGGAGACCCAGGAGGACTGAATGAGCTCAGCCTAGCACTGCTGCTTCGGGGTTTAGATGAATTCCGGCTTGGAGAGAATCTGCATCTCTTGCCTCTCGCTTCTCTCTCGGTATGTCATTCTGGAGTCCTGTGACCTCTGCTCCCTAGAGAAAGTCAGAATAAAGAAGCAAAGGGACATGATTTAGCCTGATGCAAAAGCAGCATAGATGCTAACAGATAATGGTTAAGAAAGGTCATTAAAGATCAGACACCTGTTAAGCTTTAGCAACCAAACCTCTTTCTCCAGCACCTGTCGTTACAGTCCAGTGGACGGACACATCATTGCCAAGGAGACTCTGCTCTTTGCCCCACTTTCACATATAGAAAGGAGGCCTACGGATGTTCACAGCCCAAGTTCACACATGACTTTCTAGAAGCAGGATCTGAACCTCAGCTGCTGCCATTAGGCAAAGCCTTAAACCAGTGGTGCCCAACCTGTGGGTCATGACCTCCCTTGGGAGTCTCATATCAGATATTTACATTATGATTCATAACAGTAGCAAAATTACAGTTATGAAGTAGCAACAAAGTAAGTTTATGGTTGGGGGTCACCACCGCATGAGGATTTGTATTAAAAGTCACAGCATTAGGAAGGTTGAGACCCACTGCCTTAAACCATCCTATTATTATTCTCTGTGCTATGAATTTCTCGATTTACTCCATATCTGATGAGAACAGATGAAAAACAGCAGAATGACAGTAGTTGTCAGGGGATTACATTTCAGCTCAGCTACTAATGATCAGTATAACCTCAGCAATGTCACTCAGTCTTGCGAGCCTTACTTTGTAAAACCACCTCTGAAGTAGTAAAAATGTCCCCTATCATATTCCCAGTAGGCTTACACTGAGGCAGTTCATGTGGGGAAGCTTCCATCAAAATCAAGGCCTTGCACCTGTACAGCACTGCCATGGCCTGAACCCTGGATTGAATTCATCAAACTAGTGAGGACTTCCTAACCATTGAGCACCTCATCCATGAAATGGGAGTTGTGTTGCCCGCTGATGAGCTTTGGGAAGCAAGTGAGAATCAGGGTCTAGATGTAAAAACCGGTGGTGTGTTAGGCACCAATGAGAACACAGCTTACTTGCAGGGGAAGCAGATGGAGCTGCTGAAGATGCAGTAGATGAGGGGGTTGATGGCACTGTTCAGGGCTGGCAGGTTCTGGATGATCACGGAGGCATAGAAACGCTCCTTGGTGTCTGGAAGGAGGTTGAAATTGTCCAACATGTCAAAGAGGAAGTATGGGCTCCAGCAGCAGATGAAAGCTAGGGAGAAGAGAACCATTAGCACCATCGTGGCCACACCTGAAGTATCATTCTTGGTTGATCATGATCATGACTGGAATTTTAACTGGGATGTTCTTTGGCACTTAGAGCTCTCTCAGAAATACTGGCCTGGGTATGCTGTTGTGAACAGTTTGATGTGTTTGAAACATGCTTGCTTAAATATGTGTATGGATATGCACATGTCTCAGAGACAACATTCCTAAGCTGAGATTTTCTGGATCCTCTCTGTCTGGAAAGGTGGTTCTGATTTCTGCTGGTGTAGACTTATTGCAGAAAATCTGGGATCTGACAGAAACAGCCAGGGCCTCCCATCCATCACAATGCTGAAGGAAAATGAGAAAGACTCTTTAGAGACCCCTTGCCACAGACAGAACAGGATGAAATCTGACCATATTGATCACTAGTTCTAGGACATACAGCAGATAAATTGTTGCTGATATTTTTAAAGCATGAACTATAAATGAGATCATTATGATCTCGTTTCTTTTCTATGTCAAAGTTAACCTCTCCCAAAATCACTCACCCAATACTCTTGTCCAGATCAACTGTATGTGAGTTCAATGCCTCAAAGGATAGAAATGGAATATGGGAATGACTGTTGTATGATTGATTTATGTGTCAACTTGACAGGGATCCAAGGTTCCCAGACATTTGATTAAATATTACTCTAGATGTGTCTGAGAGAGATTTTTGCCTTCTGCTGGTGAATAGGCCTCATATGATCTATTGAAGGTACAACTATAACAAGAAGGACCTGTGAGAATTTCTTCTCTCTGCTTGGTTCTCTTTGAGAACCAAGTGTGGAATACTGGCCAACATTTGGAGTTAAACAGGAACATAGAGTCAACTTTATTCTCGAAACTTTGGGTTCAGATCTGGACTTGAATTCACATTAGTGGCTATCCCAAGTTTCCCACCTCACCATGGAGCTTGAGATTTCTTGGCCTTCATGAGCCCATGAAGCAAAATCTTATGGAAAACATCTATCTATCTATCTATCTATCTATCTATCTATCTATCTATCTATCTATCTTCTATTAGTGTCATCTATCTCTCTGTCACAGAGCTAGCTATCATCTATTTACCTGCCATTTCTCTGGCTAATACAGGCAAACACAGAACTGTGTATAGTCTTGGGTACCTGTACACAAACCTGCTTCCCTTCTATCTTGTCACATCATTGTAAATTTATTTCCCTGACCCTTTCTCACCCCCAGAGTTATTCCCAGAATGGAAGTTCAGCACCCATGAATATCTACATGCAGGGACAACTATCTTCCATTATCATTTGATAGGGATTTAGGAACTTGATTCAGAATTTGGAAATGAGAAATTAATTCATGATTTCCTCCCCATAAGCATTGTTGATGTCTTAAATGGGAGTCATTAAAAAACTAAGATCACCATCTTTCTGCACTCTGGGTGGTTAATCCCATTGGTGGAATAATTGTTGTGCACCAAGAGCAACACTGCTTCTGTGTGCACGTGTGTGTGCGTGTGTGTATGCATGTGTGTGTGCGTGTCAGTGTGTGTGTTTTGCAGGAATGTCAGTCCTTCCACATGTTGGAAGCAGCAGTTCAGTCAGTCAATATTGTCCACACATCTTTTAAATGATCAACTTGGCATTTATGTATGAGAGGATCCTGCATATAATCACTGTAGTTTAGAGAGTTAACCATTTTTATAGGTACATCTGGATATTTTTAATACATGTTGAAGCTTTCAGAAATACAGTTCCCTTATAGACAGAGGAGAGATGAGTTTGTTTAATTTGAAACCTTAACAGGGTTTCTTTTCCTGCTCAGAAAATCAGGTTAGTGACAGTAAAACTGCTGATACTTGTGTGGCTCCATGAAAACATCTGTATTGGTTGTCATTTGTAGCTGTACAGGTGTAGGCATATGATTTCTTTATTACCCTTCCAGTGTAGTTATGCCCATATAGTTACATATAGAAACTGGCATTGCTCTATTGTAAGTTTTTTTTAAATTTTACTCTTACTGTAGCTAATTATTAGAGCAGTATGGTGACTTTAAAGAACATAGTAGTTAGTGTCATTGATACTTATCACTTTAGGATGGTTAAAGGGCATTATAAAAATATTTGTTATAGATAGGCCATCTCCTTATGACAGCATGCTGACCTGCATGTGGGCACCCCTGTCTGTGTGCTGAACAGACCTCATATGGCTGTCGATATAATTTCTGATTGAACAGGGACACACCAGCTTGAGATTCCATGTTTAGGCATTCATCCCCTTTCTCATAATCCAGAAAATGGGCATTTGTGATTCTGGTTATGAAGGCAAGGAATCTTTGATCTCCTTCAGAAGCTTCTGGACGAGTTCCTAGAGCCTTGGTGAGCTGTGACTGCCTCTGCAGCTCAGATGGCTGTGTGCTGTGTGTCTATACTCTGATGTCTGAGTCATGCTCAATGGGGTCTGTTTGGCATTTTGTATTTTAGAAAGGGGAAAAGAGCTATTCTTGTGATTTGACACACAACTCAGGCCTTCTTGGGGCTTCTAAGTGCTTCTAAAGAAGCAGAGATGAGGTATATCAGCTAAATAAAAAGGAAGCAGCACAAATTCCTTCCCTTCTATATCTGCATCCGTTTGTTTAGTATATAAATATTAACTCAGTAGTGTGTGTATAACCTAACTTTAGGCTTTGGGATAAGATGAGTAACTCAAGGGCAAGTCATTGCCCTTATGGATTTATAATTGTGACAGGAAAGGCAGACTATATATATATAATATATATATATTATATATAATATACCCTATATTAAGGTATATCTTAATTAAACTATATTTACGAATGTGTCTCATGTTAGATACAAATAGGAAACAGGGAAGAATCATCAAGTTGAAATGAAACTAGAGGAGAGTTATTTAAAAAGACCTGTCAGGGAAGCCTGAGGAGGTGTCATTGTTGGGGAACAAAGTAAGAGGAAGTAAGCCATGCATCTGCCTGAGCATTTTGGACAGACAGCAGTGCAAACTGATTTTATGGATTCTAAGTGTAGAAAGTAAAGAACAGAAGACAAGAAGGGTGAGGAATATAAGTTGTGGCCATAAGGGAGGTATTATTGACTCCAAAATTAAATATCCAGAAGAAAAAGAATGCACATCTACTTTTTTTTGTGGGGAGACAATGTCTTAAATGAAATAACCGATACAAGGGTGATTTGAATATAAGCTCCAGGTAGTTCAGTCCTAATCAGATCGTTTCTGAGTGATCCAGCCCATGATTTTGGTGGGCAACTATACTCACAGAGAGAGGGATTAGGAGCCAGTTATTGGCTCTTGAAGCAGCCAGACACACTGGTGAATCCTGTGCCTTTTGTTCTAGTGAAAGGTGGAAGTGTCTGTAACACATTCCTTCCCTGCATGGCCTGCCCATCCCCAGCTTGCTTTCGGAATGTTTGTACAGATTTGTGACACAAGGAGGGTCATTGCTCACCGAGGATAATGACGATGCTATACTTGATGGCCTTGATTTTTGCTTTGGAGATGAGCCCTCGGTTGTAGCTGCTGCATAGTTTGCCACCTGTAGATAGAAAGAGAGGATGGTAAAATGGAGAAGACGATTTCTGTCAACAGGAAGTCTGAAGGTTAGACTTACAGACCTGCTGATGTCCTGCTCCTCTGGGACATTCTTAGACTAAGGTGGCTCAGGAAGGGCTGTTAGGAGCTGTTCAATTTGCAACCTCATGCAACTGCCACAGGGTGCCCACACTCTCTTAGAAGCTAAGGTCAGACTACCCGAATCAGCCAGAGCTAGAGTTAGGCCACAGAGCTACAAGGGGTGGAGGCCACTTGTTGAGGGCTGCTCTCAGGCTTGAGCTGTGCTGAGACACCCATGTAGTCACTTCAGCTACCCCCTAGAATGGCTTCTCCAGACCAATTCACTGATCTCCCTGTGAAACTCTGCTCTCTGTAAAGCCCAAGTTGCAGGACACAGGCACATCTGAACCTACACATAAACTCCAATCATACATGACTAGTATCTGAAGGCAAACCAGACAAGGGATGACTATGATAATCTGTGGAGAGGGCTTTTGTCATAATTCAAGTCCATGGATTGAAGGATTGACAAATGCGTGTTGAATAGATCAACACCTACTTCTTACAATGGAGAAGTAGTTATAAAAACTATGGTTGATTAAGATGTGTGGAAAGTGCACTAGATCTAATGACATGAGTAAAGAGAAGGGGACTAGGGGATGGAACATTGGTCTGAAGAAGTTGGTACTCTCAGAGCTTCCCATCTCATAGGACATGAAACCTTTACACACACTCAGTGAACAAGCCTTTGGAAAACTTGGGAAAGTTGCCTAAAGTTCCCAGCCTTTGTTTCCTAATTTGGAAAATAAAATAAAAATGTATTTCAGATGTCAAGCTCTATCCTGGCATGTCAATCATCTCGCCACTAGGAATGAATTATGTTTTAACAGTGTTTGGGGATGAACGTGAGCTGTCTTTGTAGAAGAAAACTGAGAGTGTTACTACTCTAGACAGTCTATTATACAATGGTGTTGCCATAGACAGCAGGAAATTATCAGGGTGAGATTATCTCCACAGGGGCAGGGAAAGATGATAGCAGATCAAATTATGTTCTTTCGAAGTGTCCCCACATGCTGGCCCAAGGTAACAGCTGGTCCCTAAACAGTGTGGCTTTGAAAACTTAATTTGTCTTTCAGAAAAGTTTTTGAGAATGACATTTGTGCTCTGAAATCTTTAAAAATGGAAAATCTCAACACTTGCCACAGGATGACTAGTTGACAATATCATCAACTCCCTGCCCTCTGGATCTCCCAATGAGATCAGTGAGAATCATCTTTAATGTGACCACTGCAGGAAATGCAAAGCCTCCAGCTCCAAAGACAGCTCTTCAAAGCGAGCTGAGTTACAGAATGCAGGTAATTCCCCTTTATTGGAAGATAAAAGGATTATTCTACTCAGGACTTGGCACTGAGCTGTACTGAAAGCAGTGAAATTCAGCTGTCACTGGATGAATGGCTTGGGACGCTGGGAGGCAGCGGGCTCATTAGATCTGAAGCTGGAAAAAGCATGCTTGCTAACACCGCCTTAGTTCCAGAGTGTAACTGTAGTGGGTTCATGCCAGAGATTTGATCTCTAAAGGGTCAGCTCCAGTTTTAAACCTACCCAAAGATTCAGGCTCCTTCAGAGTTACCAGGATGTCATTATTTCTTGTTTGTTTATGTAATTATGTAATTATTTTTTCCTACTTTTTCTTTGAAGTTTTATTTGTTTTTTTTTTTTTTTTTAATGTGAGTGCTCTGTCTGTATGAACACCTGCCTGCCAGAAGAGGGCATCAGATCCCATTTATAGATGGTTGTGAGCCACCTTGTGGTTGCAGGGAATTGAACTCAGGACCTCTGGGAGAGTGGTTAGTGCTCTTAACTGCTGAGCCACCTCACCAGCCTCTAACTGTATACTTATTATTGTGGAGAACAGAACACGAATGCCATGATGAATATTTGGAGGTCAGGGGACATGTTTGTGGAGTTGGATTTGTCCTTCCACCTCTACATAGCTTCCAGGGATTGACTCTGGCTTAAGCAGAAGGCACCTTTATTCACTGAGCCTTCTTGCTGGCCCAGAATGCCATTCTCCATGTGGGCTCAGCACCTGGATCTGGGGACTGGTCCTCTGGACCTTTAACCTCTATGCTACGGAAACACTACCCTCTGGTGAATTTTGAAAGAGGTGAATTTGAATAGAGGTGAATTCTCTTCCTGTCGCACAGGTTAGTTGTTTTTGTACTCTGCCCTTTATTTTAGGCAAAAAACCCCTCCAGCCCCAAGGAATCCATGCCCTCTTCTGGCTTTCATGGGTACCAAGCATGATCATAGTGCACATACACACATGCTGGGAAATACTCACACATAAAATAAAAATAAATAAATATTTAAAAGCCCTTCTGTTTTGTTAAGGGTGCTCTTGTTTTAGAGTTTTTATAGCTGCTAGAGTTTCCCATCCCCTAGCAGACATTGGTACTGTATATGTAATGTTGTCATAATAGAAACACAGAACACAAGACACTGAGAAGGCAGGGAGCCCGTGGCGGGAACCTGGGATACTGGTGATCTGTGTAGGGATGAGCCACATGCTGAGTCTGGCAAGATGATCTGTGTGCCCACTCTGTCAGAGCACAGGAGATGAGGGAGGTAAACTGAGTGCTAATAGTGTATTAGCTTGATGGTTATGGTATTGATTTGTTGCCGGCCGTGTTTAGGAAGGAACTGGAGAAAAAGAGATGAGCTTCAATTGGAGTTGGTTGACTTAACAAGGACAATGAAGGAGTTAGAGAAAGTCTCCAAATTTCTCATTTTATAGAGTTTTAAATACCAACTGCCTCTGGAATGCCCTGGACATATTTCTTGTATGGCCTCATGTGAAGTGAAAATACAAAGCAGCCTTCAATCAGCCAGTGGCCCTTTCTAAATGTGCAGATCCAGACAAGAACAGCCCCGTTCCCCAATGAAGCTATTAACATTGAGGAATTTTAACCAGAAAATATCCTTTTAAGATTTATCCTTGAGGCAAAGATCAGACCAAGGACTTGGCTTCCCACTTGTTGCTTCAGAGGCCCAAGAATGATGTCTACTGAGTGGAGAGATGGGGACCAGGAAGGGAAGAAAAGCAAGGTTTAGATCTGAGGGTTTTAGAGCTTGATGGTTGCCAGCATGTGAGACAGATTAGAAGCAAACAGACCAGCCACCTGATGCATGCGTGAGGAATGTTACTGCCAAGCAAACTGAAAACCATGAGATTCATGTGCATGCCAGTCCTTAGATTCATCAGATCATTTTTTTTAAACCAATTCTGTGGGCGGACAGTTGGGTCTACTTGGGAATTAAACCCACACTTCCCTAATTATTAATGGAGCTGTGAGTCTGGTTTTCCTTTCTGACAAATGCCTGCTCATGTTTTGCTGAGTTTTTACATGTGATTGTCTTTAAAATCTCCTTTCCAGTTGATCTTTAGGAGTTCTCCATGCCTTCTCTCTGTTCACCTTTTTCTGGTCACACTCCTCGAGTGTGCAGACTGGCTTTTACAATGCCCACACACAGTCAAACAAACCCATTTTCATTTGCAATTTAATGTAGCATCTATCTTGTCTTAAAAATCTTTTCCAATGTCATAAAGATATTATCTAGCTTTTGTTTAAAAATTAAAAAAAACTTTTTTACATATAACACTAATTTCCCTGAAGTTATGTTTGTCTATGGATTGAAGTAAAGTTTTAATTTCTTTCCCCACCATCTTCTGACATATGTCAAGAATTTATGCATGTATAGATCGGTTTGGGAGCACATTATTTTCTACTGTTATGTATTTTATGTCAGCAACCCTGTACTAATAGCTTTGCCTTTACAATAAACTCATATTTGGCACAGAAAAATATTTCTACTTTGTTCTATTTTTCCAGGAATAATTTGGATTTTTCTTGGCTCTTGAATGTTTCTATCTGTCTTAAAAAACATCTGCCAGACACAATAAAATGTTTTCATTCTCCTTTGAAAGGAATTGTATTAGTTTGCAGATCAGCTGGGACAAGCCAACATATTAATGATATGGAATCTCTCTAGCTACAAAATCCACACTAGCCATTTGCTCCTATCCTTATACTTATCTCTCATGCATTTTGTTAGAAACAGGTGTAAAGGCATTTTGTTTTTAGCTACTAAAGAAGCTGGTGCTGAGAGCACTTCATGGGCTCATCATAAAGCCATCAAGCTGCAAAGCAGAAAGTTAACCTAGTTCCTAGTCTAAAGTTTTTTTCTCTACCTCATTCTGCCTCATAGAATTTGAAACATGCAGTGTGATGAAGTATTGATCACATCATACCATCAAAGCCATGATGGTGAGACCCAGTTCTCTCCAGAAATGTTATAATTTGTCAGTTTCATGGCTTTCCCTTCCCAATCTCCCATCCTCATGCAGTAAATGCCCTCACCATAAGGTATAGTTTCTTCTAGAATTCAAACACATCCAACCTCATAAGAGCTAATGTTTGAGGTCTATGACATCTGTGTGTGGGAAAGCCTTTGGGTCATTTGTGAAACTGTTCCTTTTCTTTTTTCTTTGAGTCAGCCTCTGGGTGGGAAAAAGTAAACACACTTGTCAGCAAGAAGAAGGGCTCCACACTAAGAGTGACTTGGGCTTGGCAGGCAGTGTTTACAAAGTGAGCGTCTGTTCACACTAATCTTAGCCAATGTACCTTGTTGATGAGCAATAACTCTGGCATGTCAGCACTACTGGAGACCCCATTACCATCCAACTCCTGAGAGGCTTGGCTGTCCTGACACAAGGGATGTCAAAGCAAGTCCATTGATGAATAAAACACAGTCAGGATATGATAGTCTGAGAATAGCAGCTAGCCTCGTTCTGGAAGGAGGCCACAGATGGTGACAAGCTAAACACAGGTGTAATGGAGACTCAAAATTATATTAAGTAGTGAAAACTGACAGTAGCCATTTCTAACTTTTCTAATTTAGGGAAAGGCAATGCTGTGCCTTTAGTGGACGTACATCTCTAAGTGGCTTTGTACTGATTCAGTCTTGGAGGTTGGGAAAGTCCAATGCTGCCACTAAAAAATACAACAGAAAGGAGATATAAGGGACTCTACGGAGAGAAAGGAGCTAGCCACAACAGTGGATAGGGAGGTCTGCTGAGGATCACCCCAGATCGCTCTGGCTGTGTGTGTCTTGCTTCATTTTCTGATTGTTGAACTCATGGAAAATGAGGTAAGCTTCATCATAGCTCATGGGGTGAGGAGTGCAGGCAACAGGAGAGCTGTTGGGAGTGAGGAAGGGAGGGTGAGAGCTCAGAGGGATAGGCAGGGAGGAGCACACCAACCTTCCTCAATGGGCGGAAATCACAGGATAGAGGGTTGAAATCTGGAACAACAGGACCCTAGCTACCTCAACCAAACCAGACCCTGAACCTTCAAAGAGAGAAAAATGCTTTAGGGATGGGCCAGGGAGGCTGCTCCAGGGGAGTGCTGTGGATGGTATGCTGGGCCAAAGATCTTGAGTTTGAATTTTTAATAAAAACCTTTTTTGGGAGGGGTGAATTTGAGCTCTTTTACAAGTCATTTATCAGTTCTCTTCCAATCATTTCCTTCCCCGTGGGAGGTGGACTGGCTTAAGTGGAACAGCTGGGTATTCTGATCAGTCACGTGCACTTGAATCCTGGTCATGTCACCATGTGCTACATAGAGAAACTGCAAGACACCTCACCTTCAGGCCATTTTTTTTTTTTAATCTGCAAAATAGCACCTTAGAAGTTGGGCAGGGCTTAGAGGAGTAACAAATGGGAAGGATGTGCAGTGGTCAATAGCAGATGCTCTGTCTGTCCCTCTGTCCTGACTGTACCACTGGGATTTGTGCCCATTGCCCTGTACTGCTTCAGGTACACAGGAGAACACAGCAGAACTCACCTGCACTAAGATGGAGATGCCAAGCTTTGCATACCTCTCTGAATTCTCTAGGGAAAGAGACACATAGGCTCACATCCAATAAACCTTGTGGAGCCTCTTGGTTATCTCCTATCACATGGGGAAAGAAATTTCCACCATGATAAACCAAGGTCCATCTATGGCTAGGGCAGATTTGGGGTGCCCAAGTCTAAACAAATGTTAGAAAGAATCTAATGCAGCTACTCAGTTAACTCACTGGAGCCCAGGGAAGTCACATGACTTTGTAAGGTGGTGTAGCTCACCGTGATAGATCCGGAGCAGAAGCTAGCTTCTTCTAATGTTTTGTATAGCACTTTATGGTCCTTGTCTAAGTGCAGATGGCATGTGTGCTGTGGTGTGTGTGTGTGTGTGTGTGTGTGTGTGTGTGTGTGTGTGTGTGTGTGTGTGTGTGTGTTATAGTATGTAGAAGTTTAAGTGTGTGAACATTTGTAGATATTTTGTGCATGTGCGCCTGCAGGGTATGTGTGTGTTCACATAAGGGATAGGAGAAGTGTGGGACCTAAGCTGAGTAGTCTCATTCTCCATAAATGCCACATTATAGAAAAGCCAGAAACCTTTCTTCTTTCTGGCTCATTGGTTGGTTGGGTCTTTTCCAGTGTAACCTAACCAGATATAGTACTCCTAGAGGTGCCCTGTAACTAAGTTCAGTGAAATGGAACTTGGGGAAGGGCTGTCTCAGTTCCAGTCTTGTTGGGCTAAATATCAGAGAAAACATGTGGACTGAGTTGCACCTGACTTCAAGGCTAAGATCATCCTGTAATCAGATGGTAGATTTACCGATTTCTAAATTCCAGCCAAACAGAGAAGCCCATCTTCAGGTTTGGTAGATGTGTTGTACTCTCAAGCTTCTTCGTGCCTGGTACACAACTGGGGTCACTCCCCATGCTGCCTCAAGTGCTGCTTCAAGGGACTACATTTGTACAATCGAACAAGCTCAAAGTGCCCTCTTCCTTTTGCATTTTATTTATTACTTATTTGTGTGGGGTTTAGCAGACAACTTTCTGGAGTCCATTCTCTCTTTCTACTATGTGAATTTTGGGTGTTGAACTCAGGTTCTCAGGTTTGGCAACAAATGCCTTAATATCCTGAACCATCTTGCCTGCCTTCTTCCAGAGTTTTCAGGGAGGCTGAATGGAAGACAGAGCCCTCTGGGAAGATTTTGGGGGGCTCTGTTGTTGAGTCTTTCTGTAACCAAGGAGGCTTGTGGATCCAGGCAGTCACAGATTGTACCGCTAGAGGAGAAGTTCTGCAGGAGAGTTGAGAGACTCGGAGCCTTACCTGAGCAGTTGGAAATCACTGTCTCATGGGCTTTGCTTTTAATCCAAATAGTTCGGATCACAAGGCCATAGATGACACTGCAGAAGGAACCAGAGGAAACATTAACATGGCTGATCAGTCCCTAGTGTGAGGATCCAGAGGACTAACTACCCCCATTTCCCCTTGAAAAGGTGCACTGGAGGGGTCTCGACTGTCCCTGCCAGCTATGCTTGCTATCCTGCCGAGACCATAAGAGTGAGGTGGAGGGAGCTGCTAGTCTCTTCAATGAAGAGATGAAAACCTGAAGGAGTCAAATAATCTAGATATTCAGCAGTATAGCATGGATTATAATTCAAACAACATAACCTTTGAAGGTAGAAAGAGGGTTATGTACATAGGGTTATGTATATATATATATATATATATATATATATATATATATATATTATTTAGTTTTCATACTTTCCAGTGAGTGTGTGGGGGTGGGTGGGAGGAGAGGAAGTATGTAGAGGCCTATGGTTGATATCAGAAGTCAACCTCCATATTTATCTTCTTCTTTTTCAATGAAGTTGAGTTTCTTTTTTTTTTTTTTTTAAATTTATTTTGCAATACAATTCAGTTCTACATATCAGCCACGGATTCCCTTGTTCCCCCCCTCCTGTCCCCCTCACCTTCCCCCCAACCCCCCCCCCCCATTCCCATCTCCTCCAGGGCAAAGCCTTCCCCACAGACTGAGGTCAACCTGGTAGACTCAGTCCAGGTAGGTCTAGTCCCCTCCTCCCAGGCCGAGCCAAAAAATCCTGCATAGGCCCCAGGTTTCAAACAGCCAACTCATGCAATGAGCACAAGATCTGGTCCCACTGCCTGGATGCCTCCCAAACAGATCAAGCCAATCAGCTGTCTCACCCATTCAGAGGGCCTGATCCAGTGGGGACCCCTCAGCCATTGGTTCATAGTTCATGTGTTTCCATTCATTTGGCTATTTGTCCCTGTGCTTTATCCAACCTTGGTCTCAACAATTCTCGCTCATATAAACCCTCCTCATTCTCGCTAATTGGACTCCCAGAGATCCACCCAGGGCCTAGTCATGGATCTCTGCATCCAGATCCCTCAGTAGTTGGATGAAGTTTCTAGCACAACAATTAGGGTGTTTGGCCATCCCATCACCAGAGTAGGTCAGTTCGGGCTGTCTCTCGACCATTGCCAGCAGTCTGTTGTGTGGGTATCTTTGTGGATTTCTGTGGGCCTCTCTAGCACTTTGCTTCTTCCTATTCTCATGTGGTCTTCATTTACCATGGTCTCCTATTCCTTGTTCTCCCTCTCTGTTGTTGATCCAGCTGGGATCTCCTGCTCCCCCAAGCTCTCTTTCCCTCAACCCTCGCCTTTCATTACCCCCACTCATGTCCAGGCTGTTCATGTAGATCTCATTCCATTTCTCTGTCATTGGGTGATCCCTGTGTCTTTCTTGGGGTCCTGTTTTCCAGGTAGCCTCCCTGGTGATGTGAGTAGCAGACAAGTCATCCTTGTTTCATGTCTAGTATCCTGCTATGAGTGAGTACATACCATGTTTGTCTTTCTGAGTCTGGGTTACCTCACTCAGGATGATTTTTTCTAGATCCATCCATTTGTCTGCAAACCTCATGATGCCATTGTTTTTCTCTGCTGAGTAGTATTCCATTGTGTATATGTACCACATTTTGTTTATCCATTCTTCAGTTGAAGGGCATCTGGGTTGTTTCCATGTTCTGGCTATTACAAACAATGCTGATATGAACATAGCTGAACAAGTGCTCTTATGGTGTGGTTGAGCATTTCTTGGGTATATGCCCAAGAGTGGTATAGCTGGATCTTGGGGGAGATTGATTCCCAATTTTCTAAGAAAGCGCCATATTGATTTCCAAAGTGGTTGTACAAGCTTGCATTCCCACCAGCAGTGGAGGAGAGTTCCCCTAGCTCCACATCCTCTCCAGCATAAGGTGTCTTCAGTGTTTTTGATCTTAGCCATTCTGACAGGCGTAAGGTGGTATCTCAGAGTTGTTTTGATTTGCATTTCCCTGATGATTAGGGATGTTGAGCAGTTCCTTAAATGTCTTTCGGCCATTTGAGTTTCCTCTGTTGAGAATTCTCTGTTTAGTTCTATAGCCCATTTCTTAATTGGACTGTTGGACATTTTGATGTCTAATTTCTTGAATTCCTTATATATTCTGGATATCAGTCCTCTGTCAGATGTGGGGTTGGTGAAGATCTTTTCCCATTCTGTAGGCTGTCGCTTTGCCTTGTTGACCGTATCCTTTGCTCTACAAAAGCTTCTCAGTTTCAAGAGGTCCCATTGATTGATTGTTTCTCTCAGAGTCTGTGCTACTGGTGTTCTATTTAGGAAGTGATCTCCTATGCCAATGCGTTCAAGACTACTTCCTACTTTCTCTTCTAGCAGGTTCAGAGTAGCTGGATTTATGTTGAGGTCCTTGATCCACTTGGACTTAAGTTTTGTGCACGGTGATAGATATGGATCTATTTGCAGCCTTCTACATGTTGATATCCAGTTTTGCCAGCACCATTTGTTGAAGATGCTTTCTTTTTTCCATTGTGCACTTTTGGCTTCTTTGTCAAAAATTATATGTTCATAGGTGTGCGGATTAATGTCAGGGTCTTCAATTCGATTCCATTGGTCCACATGTCAGTTTTTATGCCAGTACCAAGCTGTTTTTATTACTGTAGCTCTATAGTAGAGCTTGAAGTCAGGGATCGTGATGCCTCCAGAAGTTGTGTTATTGTACAGGATTCCTTTGGCTATCCTGGGTTTTTTGTTTTTCCATATGAAGTTGAGTATTATTTTTTCCAGGTCTGTGAAGAATTGTGTTGGTATTTTGATGGGGATTGCATTGAATCTGTAGATTGCTTTTGGTAAGATTGCCATTTTTACTATGTTAGTCCTGCCTATCCATGAGCATGGGAGATCTTTCCATTTTCTGACATCTTCTTCAATTTCTTTTTTCAGGGACTTAAAGTTCTTGTCATATAGGTCCTTCACTTGCTTGGTTAGTGTTACCCCAAGGTATTTTATGTCATTTGTGGCTATAGTAAAGGGTGATGTATCTCTGATTTCCTTCTCTGCTTCTTTGTCCATTGTATATAGGAGGGCTACTGATTTTTTTGAGTTGATCTTGTATCCTGCTATGTTGCTGAAGGTGTTTATAAGCTGTATCAGTTCCTTGGTGGAATCTTTGGGGTCGCTCAAGTATACTATCATGTCATCTGCAAATAGGGAAAGCTTGACTTCTTCCTTTCCAATTTGTATCCCCTTAATCTCCTTATGTTGTCTTATTGCTCTGGCTAGAACTTCAAGTACTATATTGAATAAGTATGGGGAGAGTGGACAGCCTTGCCTCGTTCCTGATTTTAGTGGAATTGCTTTGAGTTTCTCTCCATTTAATTTGATGTTGGCTTGCTGTAAATTGCCTTTATTATGTTTAGGTATGTTCCCTGTATTCCTGATCGCTCCAATACCTTTATCATAAAGGGGTGTTGGATTTTGTCAAATGCCTTTTCTGCATCCAGTGAGATGATCATATGGTTTTTTTCTTTGAGTTTGTTTATATGGTGTATTACATTGACGGACTTTCGTATGTTGAACCACCCTTGCATCCCTGGAATGAATCCTACTTGATCATGGTGGATAATTGTTTTGATGTGTTCTTGGAGTCTGTTTGCCAGTATTTTATTGAGTAATTTTGCATCAATGTTCATGACGGAGATCGGTCTGTAGTTCTCTTTCTTTGTTGTATCCTTGTTTGGTTTAGGAATTAGGGTAATTGTAGCCTCGTAGAAGGAGTTTGGTAATGTTCCTTCTGTTTCTATTGTGTGGAACAATTTAGAGAGTATTGGTATTAACTCTTCTTTGAAGATCTGGTAGAATTCTGTGCTGAAACCATCTGGTCCTGGGCTTTTTTTGGTTGGGAGACTTTTAATGACTGTTTCTATTTCGTTAGGGGTTATTGGACTATTTAAATAGTTTATCTGGTCTTGATTTAACTTAGGTATGTGGTACCTATCCAGAAAGTTATCCATTTCTTTTAGGTTTTCCAGTTTTGTCGAATAGAGGTTTTTGAAGTATGACCTGATGATTCTCTGGATTTCCTCAATGTCTGTTGTTATGTCCCCCTTTTCATTTCTGATTTTGTTGATTTGGATGCTCTCTCTCTGTCTTTTGGTTAGTTTGGATAAGGGCTTGTCTATCTTGTTGATTTTCTCAAAGAACCAACTCTTTGTTTCATTAATTTTTTGTATTGTTCTCTTTGTTTCTATTTGATTGATTTCAGCTCTCACTTTGATAATTTCCTGGCATCTATTTTTCCTGGGAGACTGTGCTTCTTCTTGTTCTAGAGCTTTCAGGTATGCTGTTAAGTCTCTAGTGTGAGATTTCTCCAACTTATTTATGTGGGCATTTAGTGCTATGAATTTCCCTCTTAGTACTGCTTTCATAGTGTCCCATAAATTTGGATATGTGGTGTCTTCATTTTCATTGATCTCTAGGAAGTCTTTAATTTCTTTCTTTATTTCTTCCTTAACCCATTGGTGATTCAGTTGGGTATTATTCAGTTTCCATGAGTTTGCAGGTTTTCTGTAGTTTTTGTTGTTGTTGAAATCCAACTTTAGACCATGGTGGTCTGATAGAACACAGGAGGTTATTCCAATTGTTTTGTATCTGTTTAGATTTGTTTTGTGGCCAAGTATGTGGTCAATTTTAGAGAAGGTTCCATGGGGTGCTGAGAAGAAGGTATATTCTTTTTTGTTAGGATGGAATGTTCTGTAGATATCGATTAAGTCCATTTGAGTCATGACATCAGTTAAGTTCTTTATTTCTCTGTTAAGTTTCAATTTGGGAGATCTGTCCAGTGGTGAAAGTGGGGTGTTGAGGTCTCCCACTATTAATGTGTGAGGTTTTATATGTGATTTAAGCTTTAGTAATGTTTCTTTTACATATGTGGGTGCCCTTGTGTTTGGGGCATAAATATTCAGAATTGAGACTTCATCTTGGTGGATCTTTCCTGTGATGAGTATGTAATGCCCTTCTTGATCTCTTTTGATTGATTTTAGT